TCAGCTGGTGTTTTGTAGTACCTCAGACTATCTTCAGTCATTTCAAGAAAGGATATAGAATGTACAAATCAAGACAAAAATTTAACTCATTATTATAAAAAGTAGATGATTTACATGAAATAGCTGACATTGTTGAGTGTTTAGTATATGCCAAGCACTGTTCTTTACACTTCGTATGAAATAAATCACTTACTCCTCACAACCCTTTGACATATGACTTCTGTTACCGTTTTGCTGATGAGAAAACTGAAGCACAGAGAGTAAAGTAACTTACTAAGGTCATACAGCAATGGCAGATTTGGGATATCCGTGCCATCTGGAGACCGAGTCTGCGCTCTCAACCACTATGCTATCTGTTTGATATAACAATTTTTGGATGAAGAGAGAAACATGGGCAATTCATGCTTTATTAGCATGTTATCTAAGAGTTTGGGAATCAGTGCATTTTTACAGAACATCTAGGTTAGGATGGTGGTGAAGAACTTACATTTTGGAATTCTTTAACATTTACTTCCAACATTAGGTCTCCTAAATAGTTAAATGAAATAGAGTAAATTGCTAACCCTCCCTTAGCCTTAGCTTTTCTTTCTTTAAAAGTGGGAATAACAGTAGTACTTTTCTTGTTATGCTTTCTTTCCCCTGATACATTATACTAAGCTATTTTAGTATTATTTTCAAGATAGGAGGATCATGTACTTTTTTTCAAGGAACCCATCTGCTGTAGGTGACTCACATGTCAGACCTGGGACACTGTTGTTTTGATGACAGGTGTCCTTTGGGGAAGTCTCTGCTTACATTGTTAATAAAAATGCTGTGGTTTTGCTCCCCATCTCTGTTATGTATTTTGTTTTAGAGTATCTGAAATGATACTTTAAGAGTGTTGGGCATTCTTAGCTTTATAAATGTCTGATATTCCCCCAAATGTGTATTAAATCAACCAGTATAGTCAGGGTGAAACATTTATTCAGGCTTTAAACTTCAGCAGCAATAACAACATTGAAATAAAAAAAACACTCAAAATATTTTTATTGTCTAACACTTCTATGCACTATGTATGCATTTTTAGTTTAATCTTATTCATAGCCATATGCGGTAGGCAATTTTATTTTCCTCATTGTACAGAGGAGAAATATGAGGCTAAAGAGAGTGTAAGTAGTAGAGTCAGATTTTGAATGTAGTTTTGTCGGACTCCAGAGTCTGAGTACTTAACTGTGATGGTAAATCACCTTTCGTTGGTACTGAGGTCTTAAAATTGTGTATTTAAGAATAAAAGGGAAAACAAATTTGTCATTGTTATATCATGGAAATCAGGACGAGAATTGTGTAGCTCAGGCTCCTGAGGAAGTATAACTGGAAAGTTATCAAGAACCAAGGCTGTTCCTGGTGCCATTTCTTTCTCTCCCTGTGCTCACCTCGGTTCTCGGTCATTATTTTCTCTCTCTGCATATTGGCCTCCTCTGTTCGCCTTACCACCTGGCCCATCTTGGCTGCTCATAAAATGGTACCTTTAATACCAGCATCTTTATCACCTTAAAAATCCAGAGCCAGGGCCAAGTGACCCAACTTTTCATGATCTGAATTGTAGTTTCTCGTGAGATAAAATCTTGTCATTCTAGTCAGGCTCTGTTGTTTTCTTCTGGGTCAAGTGTCTGTCTTTTGGTCACATAGGTGTGGCAGTAGGTGATAGGTTGAGGGGGGAGTCACTGGACACATTCAGGGATCTACACTAATGTTAATAGGTAGTTCTCAGGGAAAGAGGTATAGGCTGAATAGAGCCCCAAAATATGTCTATACTAACATGTATCAGATTTTATTAAAGCAGTATCATAAAAATAACAGCACAAATACAAATATAAAACATAACATAAAAATAAAACATAATAAAAAATAAATATAGCATAAAAACAGCACAAATACAAAATACAAATATTAAATACAAAATAATATATATGTTAAAGGAACAAGGAACTGAAATCAGTTTATCATTTAAAAGCTAACTTCCTGAAACTGGATAAGTAAATTCTTTAATGATACTAGAAGAATTTATTTAAAAGAATCATCTGAGTGAATGTTTTGAAAAGAATATTCAGTAGTCGTTTATTTATTCACTCCTGTATTTGTATTGTCAATTCAGGCTTTCCTGTAGTAGGTTTGCATAATTGAATCTGTTTACCAAAGAGCTCTACATCATTTCCTGTACATTATTTGAAGGTTTACTTCATGGGATTTCAGATTCTATTTTCGTATTCCTTAATTCACGGATTTCAGCGAATAAGAAGCATTTGTCTTTTGCTCATGCATTTTCCGTTATTGGTGACTGTTTTTAAAATTTCTCTAGTAGCCTGCCTCATTTTGAAAATTTGCAGTTTTCTATGAAGTTTTAGAAGTCTGAAGAGTCAGAGTGGTCTACTCTTCTGTAGAATGTTGGGGGGAGAGTTTAATGGAAGCTGATGATTTTGTGTGTTTGGTTCAGGTAAACATTTTCCAACTTAGGTTCAATGTAAAGTAATTCTTAATTATAGTGTTTTACATTCTACGGCTGCTTTGTGATCGAAATGTTGAAGATTTATGAAATATAGAATATACTTTTATGTGGTTTGTTATGAATTGTGTTATCTTGGGGTCATATTTTAAAACAGAAGTATATCTTAATTTTATTAATATCTTAATTAAAATTAATATATTTTAAATGATAATTCTAGGGAAAATATTATTCAATGTATTTATTCAGTTTTCACCCAACTTTCTTAGGAGCTAGATAGCTCTTTTACACCTGGTGAGCTATAGATACCTTCATTAAGCTTTTTTTTTTTAAATTGCCTTTTTTTTGGATATATTAATTCTTTTATTTTGTTAAGCATATATTTTGAAAGATATCTATACCCTCATTCTGGGCTTTTGAAAATAATTTAGTAGATAGAATGCCACATATAGTCTATGTATGGAAATTAGCTTTATTTTCTGAAATATATTGATCCTGAAGCCACAGAACTCTACCTCTAGATTCTTTGTGTTCATGTGGTGAAGAGAATTTCCTAGGACATTGTTTTTTTAATGTATCACATAAGTGAAACAGTTTCCATTTGTTCCAACTGACTGAACGATTTCCAAGACAGGCTTCTTCCCTGCTCTGTTCGTCAACATGGTTTTCAATCTAGAATTTCTCTCTAGCTCTTGGTCCTCTTCCAAAATAGGGGTAGTTTCTGAGCATCTCAGTGGCAGTGATTTTTCCAGGTATGTCTGTTGGATTCTGAAGGTATCAGTCAAAAAGAGCAGGGGGGATGGGCAGAAATAGGGAAATAAAAAAATAGGAAATAGAAAAATAGGAAATAGAAATAGGAGGAGTTGGGGCAATGAGGCAGGCCTTTTTAAAAATAACTTTAAAAAAGAGTATTTGGGAAAAAAGGGTAAGGCACTGTTTAGAACAACAGAAGATACATGAGCGAGAATAGACCTTCTAGATTAGTGCTTTTCAAAGTATCTGTGGTGAAGGACCAGATTTTTCATTTCCAATTCATTATGGCTAGGGCCTACACAGTAATAAGTACATTTGTCACATGCTTTGAAAACATTGTCTAATTGCTATAAAGGTTTCTAACTGGCTGCTCTCCATTTCTATGCATAATGTAGACTGGTATCAGTTTGCTCACTGACAACAGTTGCTGACCACAAGCTGAGTAGTGTTGATCCTAAAACCTTGTTTCTTCATTTTGCACCCAAGGTTGTTGAAACTCAGAAAAGTGAAATGATTTGCTCTATATTATACAGCTATTAAAATTTTCTTTCTTAGTTTCAGTAGAGAACAACCCAACTTAAGTCTTTTGTCTGAAGATGGTGTTCATTGTCAATATATAAAAGTCCGAAAAATATGCCTCTGGGGTTTGGGGCTATAGGGGATTTTCACTTTCTGCATTGTGGATTTCTGAAATAATCTTTTGTATGATCTTATATTTTTGGAGTCAGGAAAAAAATCAATAAAGATACCAATTAAAACAAAACCAAAACAAGAAAAATCAGAAATATTGTGGTAGAAAAAACATAATAGTTAAAAAAAAAACTATTAGTTTCATATAATTAGAGTGATGAGTTTATATGGAGAGAGTGTCAAAAGATAAGGTCTAACAACAAGAGTGTCAGGGACAGGATTGGGAAATGGTTATGTAAGCCATAAAAAGTAGTTTGCTTTTCATTTGGTAGACAGTGGGGAGCAGTTGAAGAATTTTATATAGTGAAGTCGTACAGAGCATGTTGGTTTTTAGCAAAGGAAATTTTAGTGCTTTCTCTCTATATGTTTATTTTAAAGTAAGATTAATAAAGGATCTACTTTAGTTTTTAAAGTACTTTAGTTCTAAACACTGTAATCGAATGCCTTTCAACTATAAATAATAGCTTACAAGGAAGGAGAACATAGAAATATGATGCAGTAATTGAGATTAGTATTTATTGTGTTTTGAAGAACCCCTGTAACTAGGTATTTGGTAAAAATGTATAATATTGAGGCAGTATATTATGGTGTTGAGCATGACCAAAGTGCTTGGGCTGGCATCTTAGCTCTGCTGTTCATAAGTTTGTTAACCTTGGGCAAATCACTTGACCTTTTTGGGCCTTGGTTTTCTCATCTATGAAATGAGGATTCATAATTCTTTCCATATAGAAATGTCATGAAGTGAAATGATTGTATCTCTGTATATGTGTATGTGTGTGTATAGATATATAGACATATTTATTATATAATATAGAATAGTACCTGTTAAATGATAAACATTAAGTACTTTTACTGCTGCTGCTGTTGTTGTTATTGTTATGATTGGTAGTGGAAGACATTTCTTTAAAAATTTTATAAACATTTAAGAATAATGTGAGTATAAAATACCAAAAATGTACCATTTATTATCTGAAAATCACCACCCACTAGATTTCAAATTTTATTTTTTTCTCAGTTTATAGAAGCTAAAATAGTGAATTTAAGTATATTTAACTTAGTATTTTCTCTTTTATAGTTTATCAGAGAAGATATGAAATATAAAGATGCTTCTAATAAACACAGCCATCTGCACAGAGAAGATAAGCATATAACTGTTGAAGATTTATGGAAACGATGGAAAACATCAGAAGGTAAGACTATTTTAGTGATCTGGATCCCTCACTTGCCCTTCTGCCCTGCTTAGCTATTGTTAACTCACTAATTGCATATGATTTAAAAAAAAAAATCAAAATAACACTTCTGTGAGGATATTTATATTTTAGTAAATAATTTTTCCATTTTTGATTTTGAAAGATGATTTTTGTCTTTCTTTGAATTCCTTAAGGATCAGCCTGTTTTCAGATAATTTGATACTTTATGCTAGAATAAATAAGATAATGCATGTCTGAAAGCTTAAAGTTGTAGAGCATCGTTTTAGCTGTTAAATGGAATTATTATAAAAGGTTTATCGAATAAACATTCGGATCCTAAAGTTTTCTTATTAGTTATGGAGAACAATTCCTAAAGTCTTTAGAAGGCTCAGAGCTTTTAAGCTTTTTCTTAAGTAAATCCTTTGTGAAGTCTTCTACTAGTTGCATGATAAAGTTGTATGATTTATATTTTATTCCTTTTTCTACCCTTAAGTTCTCTAGCTATCTTATGGATAGTAATTGTTTAGGGCAGGAAAAGTGTATGACTTAAAACCTCAACCTGATCCCTAATACTAGAAAGCTAATAAAATAATAAAAAAAAGTCCATTAAGCTTTTTTCTTTTTGAGTAACAGAGTCAACCAAAATGTTTTTTTCCTAATGTTTCTGTTCTTTTATCAAAGTCAAGCAATTATGTTGTAGCATCTATTTTTCTCTGCTAGTTCAGGAAATGAAATGAAATTAAAAGGAAGCTGGGACAGATTACCAAGTAGGCGTGTAAAGAAATAATAATGTTTACTAGACTGTCAATGGTAACATTTTGAAATTGGAAAATACATAAAACTATCCCACCAAGGCTCAGTATTTTTATTAAGGTAGAAGAAGGTTTATAGCGTGCTTACATTTTTGTTTTTGTTTTTTTTGGTGAGGAAGATTGCCCATGAGCTGACATCCATTGCCAATCCTCCTCTTTTTGCTGAGGAATATTGGCCCTGAGCTAACGTCTGTGCCCATCCTCTTCTATTTTGTATATGGGACCCCGCCACAGTATGGCTTGTTGAGCGGTATGTAGGTCCGTGTCCGGGATGTGAACCCCAGGCTGCCGAAGTGGAGTGCGTGAACTTAACCATCGCGCCATCAGGCTGGCCCCTGTTTTCATTCTTTAAAGGAGGCATCTGTTGAAATATACTGGGAAGAAGAAAAAGAAAGAAGGAAAAAAAAATACTGCTGACTTCAATGAAAGATACATAGACTTTAAAAATCTCTCTCTCCATTTCTCCTCCTTGTTCTGTTTTTAAGTAATATGAACTTGGGTTGGAATAAATGAGTATAAATTTCATGAGGGAAAGTGCTAGAATGGTGTAAAACTCAGTAAGACTTAGTCTATTTATGTGAAATACCTCAGCAGTATGTAGATATTACTAAGGGAATTGGAGATCCATTATGGAATCTATGGCTACTAGTATATTTTAGATTTGGTATGTGGTAAGTTGAATGGAGCCCACTTAACTATGTTCGAATGAAGGAAGAAAGATTTGACCACTTCTCATCACCTGTTGTGCTACCACCCTGCTTCAGCTCCCATCTCTTGCCTGGGTATTTGCAGTAGCCGCCCCTTGGTCTCCTTCATGGTATACTTGTGCTCCGCTGTAGTCTCTTCTTCACTTAGCAGAGTAGTCTATTTAAAAGGTAAATCAGTTCTGCTCAACACCATGTAGTGGCTCAGAATAAAAGGCAAAATCTTTACGAAGACGTCTAAGTCTCTACATCTATCCCAGCTGGACTCCTTGCTATTCCACCGCTGCAGGAGTGCAGATGACCTCATGGCTAACTCCCTTACCTCTCTTATTAAAGCCTCTATCAAGGCTCTTCTCTCCGGGAGGCCCACCCTGACCACTCGATTTAGAATCGCAAACCACGCTCCCTCCCCTCCCCTTTACCCTTGTTTTTTGGCACTCTTGATCCCTCTTACACAGCTTCACACTTTCTTTTTCCCGTATCAAATTTCACTTTCTAAGATATTGTATAATTGACTTATTCATTATTTTTGTCTCTCTTCTCTCTCTTCCCTGCCCCTGAGACTGTGAACTTCAGAAAGCAGAGGGTCTTTTTCTGTTTTGTTTATTAATGTTTCCCAAGTCTGAGGGGACTCTGTCCTCAAAACTCTGTTTTGATTTCCCGCCTTAGTGAGTTCCGTGAGATCTTTTGTGATCTATGAGAATGTTTGTTTGTTTTTTAGCTTAAGGCCTTTTCAAGTTGAGTAGCCTCTTAAGTCTCTTTTTCCCTAGGCTTTTATCTTTATTTCCATCCCCTAAGATTTTACCATTATGATGGTGAAAAAATTTCCCCATAAGTCTCCAAAGAGTTGGCCTAAATTATCTACTCTATGCTTCCTTTTCTCCAAACCCCAGTCTTTCACATACCCTTTTTAGGGGATCAGGGTGTGGGAGGAGTAGTCTTAGGGCTCCTACTAAAACAGCTGCATGGGGTGGGGAGGGAGAGGAGTCGAGTGAAATAAACCTCCACTAGAAGCTTTATAGAGTGACTTCATTGATTTTCTCAACCCATCCCAGACTCTTTATTTATTAAAGGAGTCATGTAAAGGCAGAGCATTGTTGCTAGATCATGGTTTTTAAATCATAGCCTGACAGCCTCAAGTTTCCTGGAGGTATCCCAGGGGCAGGGCATGCTGAGTGTGCGTGGTATATTTTGTTTCTGTTTAAGATTTCTCTTGGGAAACAAAACATGATTCTTCTGAAAAGGTTTTGAAACTGCTAATATAGAGATTTGAATATACCTCTAGCAATAATATGTAATTTTAGTTGAATATGAATACAAATTGATACACATACAACATGCACACACATACGCGTATACACTCAAACATACACAATCATACTTTGCCCATCATTGTTGTGTCTCCAATGCCTAGAGCAGTGCCTTGTTTACTTTGATATTCGGTAATATTTGTTGAATGAATGAATGTATAATGCCTGACGAGCATCGGATACTCAGTGATTCAGTTCATCAAATACTTTGAGTACAGGCATTTTTGCTATAATGAAGTATATGCATTCCTGAAAAACTTATGTTTTGCAAAATTATGAACTTAAAAATCACAAAGTTTATGGGAAGAAATGGGGTTGAAGCAGACTACTCAAAACCTATGCAACTTTGTAACCAGAACGCTAACAGTACTAACAAAAATACTAGCACAGGTGAAAAGATGTGTTAAATTCCTAATCAGTAAATACTATAGCAGATATAGGACTTTACCTTAAAATATAAGTAAAGATAACTTAATGGAAGCCTATTAGGTAGGGTTGAGGTTGCTAAATTATAAAGACAAGGACAAAGTGCGTGAAGATAAGAACTGAGCAGCAAGCGTTTCTAAGACAGGCTATGGCCAAATTGAGCTAAGAGGAAGAAGGAGTGGTGAGTGGACATTGTGTTCATAGCTTGCTGTTTTGGCATTCTGTATTCCTTGCATCCATTTGCTGTTACTTGGTGATGTAAAATGGTAACGTGAGGAAAGTCACATGTGAAGTGATGTGACTTTTATATTATATTGACGTGATCCCTGTTTACCAGTTGCACATAAGCTAATTCGTGTTACAGAAGCACATTAGCAGAACAGTTTTTGTCTATTATGTGCTAAGTAGGCGTTGGATCCTGGGTGTTTAAGATGAGTTAAACATGTCTCCGGGCTATAGGGAGTAAATAGCTGAGTGGGAAAGACAAAGTAAACAAATAATTACAATATCTGGTGACATGTACAATAATAGAAGTAAGTGTAGGATGTGGAGATAGCTCACTGGAAGGATAATTAACTCTCTGGTAGGATTATATACAAAAGGTGGTGTTTGCGATAGGCTGTGAGGGTTGACCAAGAGTTCTGAAGGGGATAAGGAGATAGACCATAAATGGTAGCCTCCTCATGGCTCCTTCTTTAGTTACCTGAAAATTTGCTGGAGGTGGAGGTGGCATGCCATAGAAGTATGTGAGCTTTCAAGTTATACAAATTTAAATCCTGGCAGTCTTATTTATGAATGTTAAGACATTGGGCGCATTTTAAAGTTCACTTATAAAATGCAATTCTTTTTTCTTTTTGGTGAGGAAGATTAGCCCTGAGCTAACATCCGGTGTCAGTCCTCCTCTTTTTGCTGAGGAAGATTGGCCCTGGGCTAACATCTGTGCCCATCTTCCTCTACTTTATATGGGACGCTGCCACAGCGTGGCTTGACAACCAGTGTGTCGGTGCGCGCCCGGGATCCGAACCTGCGAACCCCAGGCCGCTGCAGTGGAGTGTGCACACTTAACCGCTACGCCACCAGGCCGGCCCTAAAATGCAATTCTTGTGTGATATAAATGAGTAATGTAGTAAAAGTGCCTAGCATAATTTCTGGCAACACTTGGGGGACACTTAGTAAATGTTGACTTATCCTTGTAAAAATGCTGAGTAAACTAAAGTGTTTGGCTGTATTTAGAGTTTTGTAACGTTTTTGATTCAGTCTTATAATATTCATCAATAAAATGAACAGATACATTAGGCTAAATACTTAGCCTTGTAGTGTGCAATTCTCTGGAGGCTGAAATGTACCTAAGATCTTTATGGGATGTTGTCAGCTGGGGAAAAAGTAAAATTATGTTACACAGAAATTGATCTGACCTCATAAAATTTCAGCATGACCTGAATGCACTTTTTATGTGTGTGTAGAGAATGGTTGGTCAGTTTGCACATGGCAGCAGTCCAATGCAAATGAAAGCCATTTTAAAAACTAGAATTAGATTTCAGGTAGATTTTGATAAACTGGCTAAGTTGTTAGAATTACTGAATGCAGTTCAATAGTAGCCAGATATATAAAAGAAAAAGTAGATAGAAAATTATTGGTTATATGTAAGATTTAGGGACTATAGTAGATAAAAAACTGATTAAGTAATGTACTGTTTTTAAGAATGATAACTCATTGGGTTAAGTAATTACAGCATGTGACAACCATGA